TATCTTCAACTGTGAAAATCACCCATAATGATTATTATTTTATATGTTTTTAATTGTGAATTTTTAATAGAATAGTTCATTATTTTTTTCAATAGGCTTGTTTGTTTTAGTATCCAGAAGCAATGAGTTGTTAACCCGTAGGCTCGGTAATATGGATATCGCAACCTTTCGGCCTTGATTCCATTTTAAATATCGTAAATCTGGGAGGAATGTGGCTTTTCTGCCCACCCCCGGCATCGAGCCCGGACCACAAGGAGTTCGTCACCCGCTCACCGCGCAATCCGGTTTAGCCAACAACGCTAGAGAGACGGGCTATTTTCAATAGGCACCTGATGTGCGGAATAGTAAGAATAATGTCAATCCATTTACTTCCCAAATTATTTTCTGGTACTAATTTTATGATAAAATGTTGAAAATATGGGGGTGACTGCAGTCAAGCTTATACAAGGAAATCTTAGAGATCTACATACTCTATTCTCCTCGTTGTTACGTTTGTGTAGTTCATCACTTATGTTTGAAAAAGGCTGTCCGGCCGAAACGTTACGTTGTGTTGTTTTGTTTACGTTTTTCTGCTTCCCCATTTTGTTGAGCTTTTTAGTCAAATTTCTCTGGAATTACTTTTATGATAGTTTGACGTGGGAACACACATCTATGATAAAAATCAGCTTCAATGAAGATTTGAACCCAGCACAATCAAGATTGCGAATGAAGGGGTGATTGAGTCTATGCAGCTTTTCGCTGGCTTGAGAACAGGTGTACATATTTCTTATGTCGCAAAAAAGGTTAGCTGCGTATCCTTTACAGGACGTTGCAGAACCAACGTGTGGTTTTTCTAGGCAAATTTACGTCCAGTAATTTGCCAATCCTCTGGACGGTCGGCTTTCTTGATACCACTGTCGAAACCAACGCAAGGCCCATGGCCCGCAGCTGAGATCGAGCCCGGCATTACGAAGCGTTCGCATCGACTTAGCCACAGAGCCGACGATTCGCAAACCATGTCGATAAATGTGTAGATATGTATACTCCGCGCAGAGTGGCAAGCGTGGCCCCAAAGCATCGGCAGTTAGCGCCCTTTGAATATTTTCTCCAAATAATGCAGGTGTAGTGGAATTTGAACAGGCAAACAGACTGGTTGGTTCTACATCACGTGGTGACAGAGTGATGCACACTGAACAAGATATTGTAAAGGGGGATCAAACCGTTGGCATTGCGCTGTGAAGATCGTAGGTTTGTTTAAAATTCCCGACATTCAGCGTCTGCCAGAGTCAGGTACCCCTGGAACCACATATTGCTTGCGCAGTTTCAGCTACGCTTGCGACTGAAGTAGCAGTAATTGGTGACAGTCAGCTCGTTCGATTTTTGCAGATTCCAAGCGTGCACAGGTAGTGCGTGGCAAGTATGTAGCCTGGCTGTTTTTTTGGCGAGGTAATATCGACTGCCATCACTCATAGGAGTTCTTTCTCGTCGATGAAACAATCTATAAAAATAACAGGATGTGGATTGTTCTGGTTTTTACTATACATTAGTCAAAAGTAGGTGTGAACACGTCGTAGGAGTATAGTATAACCGTTGGTTTGATATTAGTTTACTTAAAAGGTGAATATTTAAAACAAAATGTCGTTTTACGTGGAAAAAAAGAAGTTCTGAAGAGATTTGGGATGTAAAAAGATAATTTTTGAAGGATACAAAAAGCGAAAAGTCAAAGATTGCGACCCTTTCTTTTCGTTTAGAAAACCACACTGGAGAGAAAAACTGAAAGTAAGTGAGTAAGAGATAAAGAGTGATAGAAGTGGAAGGATAACATTAATGTATGGACAAATAGCAGCCTCAAAGAGTGTATTAGCAAGACAAGATACATAGTGTATAGGAAGTCCATTGTAGTCAACATTCATTGTGCCGTTTACCTTAGTATTTTTTTCGGGAGCTCGGTCAAGGTAGAAAAAAAGAGGGAGAAGGGGTGTTATCTCACTGCTTGGATATTAAATGTTTCGTGAAAAACTAAACGGCAGCTTTAAATCACATACATTAATATATGAAACATATTACTAACACTATATATAAACATGCATGGAAACAGTTTTTACGTATACTCATTCAATCATAATCTCTATATAGTTACAGTCTACGGATTAATAGGTTTATGAGGACCAATGTTTATCTCCTACCTGAGGTGCGGTAAACACTATTTAAAACTGGTGTGGAAATTATTTTAAATTAAACTTGGTCCGGACGCCAATTTATGTTCGTAATATAAATTCATTTCCAAGGTCTTATTGCGAAGATTATACGAGTAGCTATCGAATGTCATCAAACTGAAAATTGAAACTCTTAAACTTATTTCATCAATGAAACTGTTTCAAGAAAAGTTTTTGAGTTGAAAACAACGTTAATCTTCACTCTGAGGTTCTTGCTGCACACGTAACGACGCAATTTTAACTAGCTAAACAAAATGGCGTGTTACTTGTCATCTACTGACCGGCCGTTATTACCATTCAGCAACATCATAGACAAATGGTTTCTGAATGACAAGTTTGCTTCATGGATGTTTTTTTTTTTTTTGTATAATAAAACCTGTCTCATCAATTAATTGTTGGACTGTATATACTATCCAAACTTGACTGTACTGTGGGGACACATAATTATGTGGAAAGTTCTCCCTCCATGGTAGCCCCTTCAGCGCAGGGGCTAGATATTAGCCTTTGTGGCTCGAGGATCTTTGGTTCAATCCGCATCGATGTGGATGTTAAATAAGTTTCCTTAGCTCCCAATTCAATGTGGGGGAAATAGGTGGGGAAGGGGGTGGGTTGGTAAGGGTCGGGGGGAGGGGTTGGAGGGGATTGTAATGGAAAATGTATTTCAAATTTAACTTTGGGACCTGGGTAGATCCCACCGTATTAATCTTCTTCTTTTGTCAATATATGCTTATGCCGCTGGGAGTCGCAGTTCATCAGTGAATCGGTAGCCTTGGTTGCTTGATACGCCGTGATATTATGCAGTCAGTGACTCCTGCAATCCATATTCTTCTCGGTCTTCCCTTGCCTCTTGGTGATTCGATTTTTAGGTTGTATGCTCTTGCTGCTAGCATGGATGGTTTCATTCTCATTAAATGGTGAAACCATTTCATTCTTTGTTTCTTAATAAATTTGACGATGGGTGTGGTTCCAACATCGTTTCTCACTCAATCTCTTCTGGTTTTATTCACAGCTGTTCTCAAACATCTCATCTCACAGGTGGTTAGTTTACACTCGCGTTCTTTTGTCAAAGTCCAGGTCGACACTGCTAACCTAAAGTCGGAAAAATTTTGTGTTTATAATTTGTTTCTTTTTCTCTATTTGGGAAAGCTTTGTGTTTTAAAATTGGAACAAGCTGGTACGTGACATTGTTAGCTTGTTGAATTCACGTTTAAATCTTACTGTCTATTTTACCATTGTATGTAAAGATGTTTCACGAGTATTTAAATTCTTACACTGTTTTCAGACTTTATCTTTATGTCGATGGTTTGTTGCTGTCTTCTTATTCTGATGACTTATGTTTTTTTTTTTTCAGTATTGATCTTCGTGTGATGTTTAAGGCATAGTTAAGATTTTAACATACAGCTGCCATGGTGGCGAAATTCTGTGAATGACTGAGTTTCAATGTTTCACGGGCTGCATTGACGTTCGGTGCGTTTGAGCCCTGGAAGGGCGTGTGTGTAGGTGTGTGTGCGTGTTTGTGTGTGTGTTGGTGTGTGTGTGTGAGAGAGAGAGAAAGAATGAGAGAGAGAGAGAGAGAGAGAGAGAGAGAGAGAGAGAGAGAGAGAGGAAGAGCCTCCTTGGTGTAGCGGCTAGACCCTCGTCTAGGGATCCAAAGGTGGTGGGTTCAGGTCCTGATGGAGCCGGACATTGTTTTCCCTTCAAAAATGAGCACAACTTCCCGGTCGACCCAGCCTTCATTGGGTAGCAGGTAAAGCCTCGGGAAGCAGAGATGCCCCGGCTATGAAGAGACACGGGGCTGGAGAATTGGATAGAAAAAGAGCCTTTCGGCGTGCCCGGAAGAGAGCGACATTCTGTAAAGGACATATTCGTTGATTAATCTGCTATCAAGACTTGATCACCAGCAAGGAGCGATTCGCTGATCTTACTTGTATTTTGTGTAATGGGCTGCATCCGTGGATGTACTGTCGAAGTATATAACCTTTTATGCACCGACCGCTCATAGTGTCCCATTTAATTTTGATATTTTGGGTTGGGGATGGGGAGAGAGAGGAGAGAGCCGTCGTGGTGTTAACCTCATCCCCCACCGAGTGCGGACCTGTCTATAAAATATAGGTCTAGACCTGTTTGCCTATTCGCCTCCGGGCGTGGAAAAAGGTCCTTTACTTTCTATATAAATATTTATAAATGCATGTTTGGTTTATATAAATATATATATATATATATATATATATATATATATATATATATATATATATATATATATATTGGGGTGAACTTGTGAGCTTGTTGAAGTCCCTTTCTTGCCGACCTGGCACCAATGGTGCGACATGAATATATTGCCTATATTGTGTTTAAGAAAAACAGATATACTAATCGTTACATCATCATTATCCTCCTCATGTGTGTGCCGATATATGTCACACAGGGCTCGCATTTGAGTTCCCCACTCCGCTCTATTGCATACAACTTTCTGGATTGCTGAAATGGAGTTTAGTCCAGCAGTTTGCCTCTGGTTAAAAATTTTCTTCCTTATGTTTCCTTTGGACGTATTCTTTTTCCCTCTCGGACCGCTTATTTCCTATTTTAGTGCCTGTTTAGCAAAATGTTTGAATTAAATTTTTTTTTTAAATTTAGAATGTGAAAAGGGAGACTGACCACTTATGGAATTGTTAAAGAGCGAACAAATTATGGAAACGGTAAATATAAAAATCAAAGCAAGTATCTGCTGGCCAAGCATTAATTACACTGAGGATTTCACATTAGTTCTGTGAAGACAGATCCTTCGTTAATTCATCCACACTAAATATGGAGCAGCTGCTGCAGAATCCAGCGTTCAGGATGAAGATCAGCTCCCTGTCGCCATCGACCAGAGTAAGTATGTAGTCAGATTCGTTAGGTTCATATTTGATCATTGTTTACATGGTTTCTCTGAGTAGGTTCCGAGGTTTCAGTTGGGAAAAGGGTTAAGTTGGGAGGAGGGGTTGGGGGAAGGGTTAAGACCCACGGTACTTTAACAAACATGTAGAAAAAAAATAGGATCTAATTAAGGGCTTGCTGAAGCGAGATATGCTAGCCTCAGGCTTTGAAGAAGGGGAAAACAATCTAAGCATTTATATTGAAATACTACAAAGGGATTCTTGAAAGTCTATAGACCAAGAAGACGACAATCGTCGACACCCGGCATAACCTGAACACCAGGGAGAACTGGCTCATCAACAGCATCCTCTCCCGAAAGTTGAAGTATTTTGGTCATGTCGAGCCCCGTGAGGGTCTGGAGAGAACGGTGATGGAGGGTGCAATTTCCGTAAAACGAGGCAGATGATATTAAAGATGCCCCAGCAATGAAGAGACAAGGGGCTGGAGAATTGGATAGAAAAAGAGCCTTTCGGTGTGCCTTGAAGAGAGTGACGTTCTGTAAAAGACATGCTGATTCGTTGATTGATCTGCTATCAAGACCTGATCATCAGCAAGGAGCGATTGGCTGATCTTACTTGTATTTTGTGTAATGGGCTGCATCCGTGGATGTACTGTCGAAGTATATAACCTTTTATACACCGACCGCTCATAGTGTCCCATTTAATTTTGATATTTTGGGTTGGGGATGGGGGAGAGAGAAGAGAGAGCCGTCGTGGTGTAGCCGCTAGACGCTTGCCTGGGTCATGACAGTATCTGCTTGAATGGGTACTAGGTGGATTTATTGGAAGTAAAGGCGGCCGGTGTGATGGTGACCACATCACCCACCGAGTGTCGATTGGTCTATAAAATATAGCTCCAGCCCTAACGCCTAATGTGCATGAAGGTGTGGAAAGAGGCCTTTACCTTTTGTTTCTACTTACTTTTATTATTTATGTTGTCCTAAAGGGTATTTTACAGTACATTATACACATCCATGGCGTGTCCTGTCTACGTGTTTATTTGTGTAGTACGTGGCTTTAGTGCGTAATGCTTACATATGTATTTGTATAGTACACAGCAATAGTATATTGTGCCTATGTTCGCATTGGTAAAGTAAATAGCTACGATACATGATGTCTACATGCGTGTTTGTATGGTACAAGCTATGGTACATCTTGCCCACATGTGCGTTTGTAAAGTTCAAAGTCTTTGTGCTTTTATGCAACACACAATGATGGTACATCTGGCCTACATGTGCATAAACGATGGTATATTATCTGTTTATTTCTACAGTACACAGTCAAGTTACATCGTGCTCACATTCACATTTGTATAGCACACAAGGTGAAAATCTAGGCTTATATATTAGGAGCTTGTGTCTTCTGAAACTACCAGTCGGACTTCTAACTTCATCGCAAATATATCGCCGCATAATTGCTTAATGCCCGGCCAGTTCACCAGAACTGCCCATCGCTGTCCTATGTCAAAAAGACAGCAGTCCCATCAAAACCCAACAGCTCACACTGGCATCAAATGCATATGGTAGCCTTCCGAGGTGCTAATATCTACACTTTCTTACTACGATTGTCATTCGTAGCTCACGGAAGAAGTATTCAAGTCAAACCCGCGGGTGCATGCGCATTACAGCATAAGGCACACCAACAATTCTGTGCAACCAGCAACTTGCAATTTTATGAAAATGCAGTTGACAACACTCACCTTCAGGAGCACAGAAAATAAGCATATCCCTTAAAGTTCACAGATCACGGTGCACACAACTCAATTTCTGGCCTACAGAGCCCAAGTTGTTGTCTCATCCACTTTTACGCTTGGGATTGAAACCCCAACCTTCCACTAGAACACTGAGGAGAACAGGGTCCACCACTTGCAAGTGGGGTAGGCTTGAGCAAGAAAGGCTAAGAGGCTAAAGTCTTGTATTGCGCATCATTCCTCCGTTAGAAACTCACAGATAGTAATCTCTGGTGGAAAGCCCTGTTTTTCCTTGTGTAAGCTATGGTCTTGTTTCAGGACTTAGGTGTCGCCTCATATCAATTTTCAGTGTATTTTTGTGCAGACTGTTGTATTCTCATCTCTCAGAAATATGATTTGTTTGGGACAGAAATTGCGATCCTAATTTCGTTGTAGCGTGGCTGTGAACTAACTGTACGAATAAACATGTAGACACAATGTGACGAGGATGTAAACTAACTATACGAATAAACATGCAGACATAATGTGACGAGGCTGTCAACTAACAACACGAATAAACATGTAGACACATTGTACTGTGGCTGTGAACTAACTATACGAATACACATGTAGAACAATGAGCCGTGGCTGTGAACTAACTATACGAATAAACATGTAGACACATTGTAGTGTGGATGTGAACTAACTATACGAATAAACATGTAGACACATTGTGCCGTGGCTGTGAACTATCTATACGAAAAAACATGTAGACACAATGTGACGAGGCTGTGAACAAACTATATAAATAAACGCGTAGACACAATGTGACGAGGCCGTGAACTAACTATACGAATACACATGTAGACACAATGTGCCGTGGCTGTGAACTAACTATACGAATAAACATGTAGACACAATGTGCCGTGGCTGTGAACTAACTATACGAATACACATGTAGACACAATGTGCCGTGGCTGTGAACTAACTATACGAATAAACATGCAGACATAATGTGACGAAGCTGTGAACTAACTATACAAATAAACATGTAGACACAATGTGACGAGGCTGTAAACTAACTATACGAATAAACATGTAGACACAATGTGACGAGGCTGTAAACTAACTATACGAATAAACACGTAGACACAATGTGACGAGGCTGTAAACTAACTATACGAATAAACATTAGACACATTGTACTGTGGCTGTAAACTAACTATACGAATAAACATATAGACACAATGTACCGTGGCTGTGAACTAACCATACGAATAAACATATAGACACAATGTACTGTGGCTGTGAACTAACTATACGAATAAACATGCAGACACAATGTACTGTGGTTGGGAACTAACTATACGAATAAACATGTAGACACAATGTACTGTGGTTGGGAACTAACTATACGAATAAACATGTAGACACATTGTACTGTGGCTGTGAACTAACTATACGAATAAACATGTATACACAATGTGACGAGGCTGTGTACTAACTATACGAAAAAACATGTAGACACAACGTGACGAGGCTGTGTACTAACTAAACGAATAAACATGTAGACACAACGTGACGAGGCTGTGTACTAACTATACGAATAAACATGTAGACACAATGTGACGAGGCTGTGTACTAACTATACGAATAAACATGTAGACACAACGTGACGAGGCTGTGTACTAACTAAACGAATAAACATGTAGACACAATGTGCCGTGGCAGTGTACTAACTAAACGAATAAACATGTAGACAAAAATGTTGGTGATTTTAATGAAGTATCTGCGTCACTGTTGACATTTTCCTGTTTGGATGTATAGAATTTTCAATACACATACAAATATGAGCACGATAAAACATCAGCATATAGAATATGACATACACAAATACATGTGAGCACAGTGAACGGTCTTTGTACTGAAGTTAGCATTCAAATAAATACGTCAGTATGATAAAACGTGTTGTACAAATGAAGAAAAATGACAACGTATGTACTTGCAGTCTAAATTCTGCATAGCCTTATTTTATCATCTCTGCGTGTGCACAATTTACAGTTCACAGAAATGATACATGGGGCAACACGTGTATTTGTATTGTATACTCTAAGGGGCCGCATTAGCGCAGTCGATAGGAGACTCACTTTCAAATCCAGTTGCGACTTGCTGCAGCCCAGGGCCGGTGTTCGAAACCGGTGGCAGACACTTATGGTTTATAACCGTGTGCAGTGACGCTAGTTCACGCCTTCCGACTTTACCTTTACCTTTGTATTGTATACTCTACATAGCCACAACCACAATTCGTCGTCTCCCTAAGTGTATTATTATAGTACAAGCAATGATGTGTCTTGTACATATGTGTACTTGTGTTGTACATGCTGCACAGCCACTATTCATTCTCCCCAATTGTTTACTTTCACAGTTCACAGCAATGCTACATCAGTCCCCATGAGTTTGTGTGTGTCCGCGATTGTGTGTGTGTGTGTATATATATATATATATATATATATATATATATATATATATATATATATATATATAAATATATATTGCACATAGCCGTTAAATATCTTGTACATATGTGTATTTGAATGAAATCTTTTTATGTCCATATGTGATTTTGAATGAAATCTTCGTATGTCCATATGTGTATTTGAATGAAATCTTTTTTGTCCATATGTGTATTTGAATGACATCTTCTTATGTCCATATGTGTATTTGAATGAAATCTTCTTATGTCCATATGTGTATGTGAGCGTGTTTGTATGATATCTTCTTAACAGCGGTGGTTTATCAGTTCCTTGATAGACTTATTTGAACAAGAATCGGAATATGTGATTGATGTGATTGAGGACTGTCGGGAAGACATGAGAGAGACCGCAGACAGGTACAAGGATGAGACAAGCGAGCTTAGAGCCACTTCCAGGATGCTACGTGAGTTCCTGTAATTTTATATTTTCTATATCTTTCTCTTCTATCAAGTAGCCCCAAATATTTCCCTGTGTCTAAATTTGTGCAGAAGTAACAATGCAACTATTTACACAGCATTTTCTTCAAAATAGTGCCCAGAACAGATAAACAGAGTAATTGAAAGAAACTGACTTGCTAAGAGAACTGACTGCCCATATCAGAAAGAGACAATTTACATTCTTTAGACATGCGACGAAAAGTAGAAAACTGCAGTAGTTGGAACAGTAGGAAAGTTGGAGGGGAAGAGAGGCAGAGAGAGACCGAGAGAACAGATTTTGGACAGTTTGACATCATTGCATGGAGGATCATCTGTGTCAGAGTTGGCTGAAGGTATACGAGACAGAAGGTTGTGGATAGACATGACTAACAGCGTCATACAGATTGGACTTTGTGAAGAAGAAGAAGAAGATTAAGAAGAAGAAGAAGAAGAAGAAGAAGAAGAAGAAGAAGAAGAAGAAGAAGAAGAAGAAGAAGAAGAAGAAGAAGAAGAAGAAAAAGAAGAAGAATAAGAAGAAGAAGAAGAAGAAGAAGAAGAAGAAGAAGAAGAAGAAGAAGAAGAAGAAGAAGAAGAAGAAGAAGAAGAAGAAGAAGAAGAAGAAGAAGAAGAAGAGGAAGAGGAAGAAGAAGAAGAAGAAGAAGAAGAAGAAGAAGAAGAAGAAGAAGAAGAAGAAGAAGAAGAAGAAGAAGAAGAAGAAGAAGAAGAAGAAGAAGAGAAAAAGAAAGAAGAAGAAGAAGAAGAAGAAGAAGAAGAAGAAGAAGAAGAAGAAGAAGAAGAAGAAGAAGAAGAAGAAGAAGAAGAAGAAGAAGAAGAAGAAGAAGAAGGAGAAGAAGAAGAAGAAGTGGAAGAAGAAGAAGAAGAGGAGGAGTGTCGTATGGCAGTTTTGTCGCGCACCTTATTTGCAGGATATTTTCACAAATCCCTCAGGTGCTCTGAGACAGGAATGTTTTGAATGGTGGCTCTCGTTCGTCTAGAGGCCTAACCCTCGGTTCAAACTTTCCATTCAACCTGTCTCAGGGTTGAGGTGACACGAGCTCTGTCTCCACAGGGTTATTATAAACACTTGGGTACCTCTCGGCCAGACGTCCCCACCACTTTTATGCCCCCAGACTGGAAACAATGTAAACCCAGTCGAACAAATAATCAACAGCGAATTTGACAAGACAACACTGCCTTTCTGAATAAGACAATGAATTTCAATAAAACGAAACTTTTCTACTAACCAGAAGACTGATGAACTATAACATTAATGTATTAACTTCACCATAACAAAGTTGACGAAAAGTAGCGTGATGAATTCAAAAGGAAAGTTCAAATCTTTGAAAATCTAACACAAGAGAAAGAGTTTTTCTACATAGACACATAGACTTCCTGGATCATCATGGCGGAGGTGGAGAACTGATTACTAAGGCCCATTTGGAGTCGAGCCATTTCAGGACTATTACTTCGACTTATCTGATTAGATCTCGTAGCTCCTCAGGATGCCGGAATAGAGTTTCACACCACCGTACTTTACAGCACGACTTCACAGGAACGAAGCAGCTTCCCAGGATGCCGGAAAGGAGTTTCTCACTGCCGTACTTCACAGCACGACTTTACAGGAATGAAGCAGCTTCTCAAGATGCCGAAATGGAGTTTCACACTGTCGTACTTCACAGCACGACTTCACAGGAACGAAGCAGCTTCTGGTGTTGATCAAGGACAATCAACTCGAAATCGGACGACGTCGACTCAAGTATCGTCCACACATTCAGCACAGCAATTCACCACACGTCAATTGCTTATTGGGTGGTGGCAGATGGAACCACTCTACCAAACACGGACACTTGTTGGATCTTCAGAAATCCTGAAAAACGCAAAGCAACAGCCATGAGCGAACCGTACCCAACGCACCTAGTTAATCAAAGTCCTTACTCCCTCCCAATGCTCAGATATACTTGAGGTTATACCAAACCATGAAGGTTGGTTACCTCTATCTTGGAATCCATTTAGTTTCCTAGAGTGAGCACTAGATCATTAACTCGAATAGTTCCTGGATTTAGTCTTGTAGTGAAGGCTAGACAGATCTCCATTATTTACCCTCCCTTCTAAAATACATTTTCCACTAACAGGGAAGATAAGGGATAGGCGATGAAGTCAAAACTAAGATCGACTGAAATATTCAACGACAATAGTACAACAGTCTAAGCTTGTTGTGGTTACGAAGTCACCTAGCAACAGCGGATATGACGTCATGCTCGCCCAGAAGCTTCTTGTCATTCACAACGGTTCAGCGACTTACCAAGTTCTGATACCGAATAACAGCAAATAACTAATCATACAAAGTTATCAATACCACAAACCCACTCCAGATATGTGGATTGATTGAACCGAAGAGGTTTAGAAGGCCATTTCGAAGAATTCTCCGAGAAATGTCAGCCGAAAGTGCACTCCAATCCGGAGCTCCCTTCGCCGTCTTCCATCGCAAGAATCGTAGGCAAACAAATTCGCATTATCAATCTGCTGACCTTACTTACCTACATCACAGACACTTTGAACACACATATTCAATTAAAAGCCCTATGAAAACTCACCCATGATAAATGAAAAGAGAATGAAGAATCTTGTCTTTTTAACGGTCAATTGGCGTCTCACAAGGAAAGCGACTGCCTCAAAGACCGGACCATAGAGAAGTGACGCATACAAACACGTTTCCTAACTACAGCAGTTAGCGTACGAATCCCGCTCACGAATGCAGTGCAGTGGTCAGACAATTTATTCAGAATAGGCGTAGAAAATGTGTCCTAACGTGTAATTCGACACTAAAAGCCTAAAAGAGTCAATATCATAGTGATTTATAGGGATTTTTCCTATCAGGACTCCCCCACAACAAACGAACTATATAACTATGGTCGGCCCATACTAAATCATAGTTACGATGACGATTTTGGGGGTATTCAGCCTGTGGACCTTCCTACTGCGGCAGATGTGTGGATTCTGTCATGCGACAAGGAATAAGTTCCATTCGGCAACTACACATTTATGTGAACATTCATACAACTGTTGGATACGTTTCTAGAAACCACACTTTGACACATCCGTTGCTTTGTCACACTGGTACTAACGTTCTTTGCATCCTTAAATGAATGACTCCAGACTTGACATCGGTGCACTCGGGACACTCCCGGTCGTGTTCAGTCTCCTTTTCAGTAACCAGCGAATAATCGACATTCTAATATTACAAGCTGCAACTGGCTTTAGGCAAGAGAAAAAGAGGGGGGGGGGTGGGGTGGGAGAGAGAGAGCCAGTCGAGGTACTGCTTTATCAGTAGGAAGGAGGTTGATATGACAGACACATTGTCATGCAGCAAAAACCAACTGTCCCCCCCCCCTCCCCCATCAGTATTCTGTTACGAGGTACTGCTTTATCAGTAGGAAGGAGGTCGATATGACAGACACATTGTCATGCAGCAAAAACCAACTGTTCCCCCCCCCCCCCCATCAGTATTTCAGGGTGTTTCACTACGTTTGTCATCATCAAAACAAACATGGCCTTTGCCGAAACGCTTGTGCCAATGAAAATAATTCCGATGTCTTCATTGCAGCATCACCATATGCTTTATAAAGCAAACTTACTGTCTAGATTCTCATTTCTCAAGTGAAACACACAATTTGATTTGCACATTGCTCAGCCAAGGACATTTTCAACTTCGAGGATACTACGTGCACAAGACACAAACAAACTGCTGTAATTTCTGTTCGAGAATAAATAGGAAGATTATTTCTGCCATTTTACGGTCCTATCAACTGATAAAAATACAACCTTTATGTCATAATAATTATTTCAAACGCCAAACTTCCAGGAACGTTCTGAAGCAGCATCATACAGACCCAAACCCACGATCTTCCGAATTCGCAAGCAAGCGTCTAGCCACTATACGAAGGTGGCTCCCATATAATATCCCATATTATTAAATAACATTAATCTGTGGGTATTTCATAGGTACTAATTTTAACATTATACCGACAGTCTTTACCTGTCAGTACAGATCCTGATATCACTTTTAGGCTGGGTTACCTTGGGAGCTATATACCTATTTTAAAAATGTCTTGCTACGGATTGGAACACGATACCTTCGGCCAGGCAGGAAACCACCTAGTCGTTGTGTGGCCTCAGCTCCTGTATACCCTTGTCAATATAGTCAAAACAAACAGGAAACAAAAAGGTATCGGACGTGTGTATACAAACGGAAACAGAACCACAAATCAATTATTTTCAGTGTATACAATATGACATTAGCGTTCCTGCAGAAAAAAATAATCGATAACCAATCGATCAATAGAATAAAAAGTTATAGTACTGCTGGGCGTTACAAGGGAAGCATATTGATCTTTTGTCGTCTATGATGGCTGGAAGAAATCCTATCATGGGATTCTTTGTGCCGTTTGTTTCTTTTTAAACCCTATAATAATAATGAGGGAAAGATAGCCAGGACAACTTAAGTGGAATCAATGGTAGAATTGATGGGAACAATAGGCACGCAACTGATGTTTCTATGAGTTGAAAGTACTACTTATAAGCCTTGATAGCGAAAAGGCTGGCATTCTTGACGAATGTCGTGTGTTTAAATACCCATTTATGTAAAAGTAATGTAGGTAAAGGTCCGTTTTATGCCTTTGACGCAACGGGTAGATAATGATAGACGCAGACTTTTATAGAACGATAGGCATTCAATGAGGTATGTAGGTAACATCACGTTTACCTGCCAGGACTGGACCTAGTATCCAGTTTAGGGTATGTCGATCTCGGTACCAAGTATTTGGGAGCTAAATTGAACCGGCAGGCAAGCGTCAGTGGGTGCCAATATTGGTAGTAAATGAGCTGCCTGATGTTCACCAGAACATTCCTCTGGTGTCCAGTGAAAGATTTCTACAACGAATGTTGATGCCAGTGGCCGGAGGTACGGGACTGAGTTGCAAACACCATTTTAACAGAATGAAACAGGATATGACGAAATATAGGAATCCAGTGAGAAATCTTTTTGCCTGACGACCAAGACACTGATGCCGATGATGAGATAAACAACAACAATAGACACACTACACTCAGAGCAAAGATATATATATTTTTTTGTCAGTGCATTTCTTCGCCTCAAACGTTCAGCTGTTAGTCTACTTTTTTTTGTCTCTAATCCCCTCCTGATCTTTTCTCTCCATGCCATGCAATCTGTGGCATCTTGTTCCGATGACTTTACCTCAATCCCTGTTTTATGCATGTCCCGCTTGCTCACATCTTTGTAACAAAGCATCAGTCGACCAAGAGACCTTCTGCCTGTCTGTAATTCACAATAGAGGATGTCCTTTGGAATTCTACCATCCTCCTTTCTGAAACTGTGGCCTGGCCATCTAAGGCTACGAAAAAATTGCAAAAAATTGTTTGAACACTAATACACACACACACACACACACACACACACACACACACACACACAAACTACTGCTATCGAAATTTGACTCTTCACTGACTGCTGAAGATGAGGAAGAAGTGAGTATAGGAATGTCGCAAGTGTACTGTCGCTTCTTGAACTCAATCATTTCCACTCTAAAACAAGAATTAGGTAATGTTGTTAGCGAAACTTCTTCTTCTTCTTCTTTTTCAGGATTTCGTGCGCTTGAGGTTTATTGCTGCAGATATCACCCGCCTACTTTTATTCCTATGATGGGTCTTTTCTTTACAGTTGGTGACTCACGTGTTCGTAGGTCTGCTTGTATACAGTCTCTTAACCGTCTTCTCCAAACAAAATTTTTGTGTGTTCAGTTCCCCCCCCCCTCCCCCCCTCCCTGTTATCTGTCATTTTCATGCGCCACAAAGGATTGGAAAAAACAATAGCTAAAGGCATGGTACCAGGAAGGAGGGGCAGGGGCCGACCGACACGAAGATGGGCACAGGATAAAAGTGACTTCTTGAGTATGAAAGTTTATGAGGCAGGAGAACTGGCGAGAGACCGAGTTTCTTTCAGGCAGACTGTGATGAGAGCGACGTTCTGCAAAGGACCTGCTACATGATGATAATCTGTCATTTTCCCCAACCGTTGATGAAGTATAATTTTGCTGACGTTTAATTCACAGAAGAAAAGCGGGACAATCCCGAGCCGTCTCCTAAACGATCCTTGTCAAGAATCTCCAACCACAGCCGTTTGTCTAGAAGCTGTGACAGACAAAGCTCTCTTGACTCCATCGCCAATCGCATGCGCTTTAGAAGACGGCGCATTGTGGGCTCTGAAGACGATGGATACAAATCTGCTGCCGAAAATAACAACAGGTGCTTTTGTGTTTGTGGTCTATCGATCTGATTTGGTATTGATATTTCACGTCTTTCTGTCACAGGCAGGCGCATGGCGTATGTTCAGCTATTGTCTTGGCGAGTCAAACATCGTATCGTGTGTTACTGTATCTTGTATGTTTGGTATAAAGCACACGGAAGAAATACCTCAGTATCTTTACAAGCAGCACAGTGTGTGTGTGTGTTTATGAGATCATATCTAGCATTTACCTGTCATTATGATCAAGACCTATCAAGTGCTGATAGGTCTATGAAAATAGAGATCTAGCCTTATGTTCCCAATACGCCTAAAGGCGTGGAAAATGGACCTTTTATCCTAAAGATGAAATAAATACTGTGTCACTACCAGATATACTATTTGGTAATGATCTGCAAATAATATGGTCACAATGATAGCTTTGTAGAGACTCGGCTAATTCATTTGTAAAGCGAAGTTGGTAGACCTGATGCGACTTACCAGTGTCTCTTTCACGTCACTTAAGGTTAGTTGCGTATCCTTTACAGGACGTTGCAGAACCAACCCCAACAGCCATGGCTGTTGTGTGGTTTTTTTCTATACAAATTTACGTCAAGTAGTTTGCCATTGCTCTCTGGACGGTCGGTTTTCTTGGTACCACTGTCAAAACCAACGCAAGGCGCATGGCCCGCAGCTGGTTTCGAACCCGGCATCCCGGCATTACGAAGCGTTCGCATCGACTTAGCCACAGAGCCGACTCACGTCACTTAACGAGTCAATATATTCAACTATTTAGGGACATTCATAACATCAGATGGACTATGACATAAATTAAGAGCAGAATTGGCCAGGCAAAAGCAGCTTTTCAGAAAATGAAAAGTATCTTATGTAATAAATCTCTCTCATTAAACATTAGAAAACGAGTACTAAAATGTTACATCAAGCCTGCTCTGTTGTATGGCAGTGACACTAGGAATATGAGCAAACAAATTAAAAAGAGTTAGGAGGAAAATAAGATGTGGTTCTTGAGAAGAATGTTGCAATTAAATTGGACTGCCAAAATAACTAACAATGATTGCCTAAAAATGGCCAGTGAAGGTAGAACATTATATACCACTATGAGAAGGAGACAAAGTTTGTTATGTGATGAGAAAAAGAACACTTGAAAATGTGACGACAGGAAAGATCATTTGTAGAACTTGTAGAGGCAGACCAAGAGAAAAGATGATAGATGGCTCAAGAGAGTGGTATAGAGGAATATCATCATTAGAATTGATCCAGAACACCAAAGACCGAAATCTGCGGAGATGCATGAACGCCTAGATCAGCTGGCAAGGTACTTGATGATGATGATGATGTCACTTAACTGTCTAGCATGAAATTTGTTTTAGACAAACTCTGCAGCAATTACGGTACCCGTGTCAGTGACTAGTAATCCGCAATTTTGTTGTTAAGAATGGGAGGAGTGTTAAACATGTGACATCACGGTGCAGACGAAAACAGTGGCGTCGTAATAAATGTTTAAAGATAACCGCGCCGCTTTTAACATGCACCGAAGAGGAGCAGCATTCTGTTACCAGTTAAAAAAAAAATTATAATCAGCGAAGGAGTGAAACCTTTAGAAATTCATCAGCGAATAAAGGTCTAGAATGGTGATGCATGCCTGTCAGTCCAGAAAGTTTATGAGTGGAGGACTCTGTGAGCTCAGGACTATTCACACCTAGTAGTCATCCCATTTAATAGAATTGCAGATATATAGGTTATTTACCATTCAGCAATAATAACAGTTTAATGATAATTTGTATTATTATTATTGCACACTTAAACAAGGGTTTAGACCCTTAATAATTTTCTAGGTGCGGGATTGAGGGCTCAAAGAAAAAAAAATGATTTTACATGTCATGACGCTAAACTACACAGCAGTATGTCCCATTGTTTCTCACTGCCTCTTGTCCATTCCAACTTTCGGTTGTCACAACTGACTAACCTACTCAGGGAATTCTTTTCAGGTCCATACATGTTGTGACCACTGAAAAGAACTGTGGGAAAAGGGATAGAGGAAGACAACGAGAGAAGATGCTCGACAGTCTTGTTGCATGGCATGGGGTTGTGTCGGCACCCGAACTGATACATGCTACAGGAGATCGCAGATTATGGAGAGGCATAATCGCCCACGCCAGTCGGCAAGGCACCTGATGATGATGATGATTTTCCTTTCTCAATACATTTTCTGGAGTCTGCATCGAGGTGGATTTTTCCTTCTCTAGGATTGACCCTGGCTTCCAGGTTGACCCAGCTTGAAATGGGTACAAGGTAATGTCTTGTGACGTAAAGACGGCCACAGAGATGCTTACTGCATCACCCATCGATTACTGGCTGGTCTGTTTTCTTCTTCTTCGCGTTCACCGGCTGTAAACTCCGGGGGAAAATTCTGGCTGTTCGTCCACTTCTGGACTGCTGTCCTGTTTCAGAACCAGAGTGTTGCGTGTGCATCCGTTTGACATATCTGATTAATTTGTGTGCACACTGTTGGTTTCTTCCTCTCAGGCAGATGCACTCCAACTTCGAAGGAAGCTCCCAATTAGTCGACTCTTACCACATGCGTTTTGGTAGGCAGTGGGTCTATTCTTGTTTTCTTCATAATAGGACCCCGGAACTCCCACGGGGAACTGGTCTGTCAAAGATATGTGGCTAGGATTATATGCTGCATAAGCTACTGGTGTAGAAGGGCCCTTTTCTTACTTTACATGCCAAGCTAGAACAATATATAGTGTTTATTTTTTTGTTACGTGTTTTCATCGCCGGCCGGGTCCCCCATTGGCTGACGGCTTCGTCATCGGTCGGGACAGTATTTGGGTCAGTCTCTAACGATCGCATCAACACTGCAAGAATTCTTTTCAGAGCTACTTAGTGGCGAGCAATGCTAAGCCATTTTAAATGGTGCACATAAACCTAGTCACAATTATAACTAAAAGCTCCCCCTTTGGGGATGCCAGTTGAATTTACGATTTTTGTGGTGCTCAAAATCCGATCGTATGTGTTGTTGTTGTTTTTTTTTTTTTTTTTTCTTTTTCTTTATTTCCTCTTCTACCGCTTCGGGTGTCGCGGAGATACAAGGTATTGCTTCTTGCTTTTCCGACCGCCTTGACCATAGACAAGACACATCGTGCTGTTGTAGAGTTTCTCTAATGTTGTATGTTCATCTCGTTCTTGCGCTCTGCCTCCATTTCCTCTTTTGGTACATGCCTTGTATCGTATGGCGTAACATTTGGTACATGCCTTGTATCATATGGCGTAACATTTGATACATGCCTTGTATCGTATGGCGTAACATTTGGTACATGCCTTGTATCGTATGGCGTAACATTTGGTACATGCCTTGTATCGTATGGCGTAACATTTGGTACATGCCTTGTATCGTATGGCGTAACATTTGGTACATGCCTTGTATCGTATGGCGTAACATTTGGTACATGCCTTGTATCGTCTGGCGTAACATTTGGTACATGCCTTGTATCGTCTGGCGTAACATTTGGTACATGCCTTGTATCGTCTGGCGTAACATTTGGTACATGCCTTGTATCGTCTGGCGTAACATTTGGTACATGCCTTGTATCGTCTTGCGTAACATTTGGTACATGCCTTGTATCGTATGGCGTAACATTTGGTACATGCCTTGTAAAGTATGGCGTAACAAAGCATTATATCTAAGCGGGCAAACCACTTGGTCTGCTGTCTTTGTATATAATTTAGAAGTGGTTCTCGCGGACTTTTATTTTGTTCTTTAAACGACCTCATTCCTGGCTTTACTTCTTCTAGTCACCCCTGCAGCGCTTCTCATACATCTCATTTCCATGGTAACTATATTTCTTTTCTTGGTTTATTGTGATTGACATGTCTGGCACTGGTAGCATATGATTGGAATAAATATGCTTTATATGAAATGTTTCTTTGTGCTGACTGAGATTGTCTTGTAAAAGGGTGGTTAGCTGTCTCAATATTTGATTCGCTTTACTGCATCAGATGTTAACTTTTTTATTTTATTTAACACCTTCGGTGAATGTTGCTCCCAGATATTTAAACTCAGATGCCAGTTCACCGCCTTTGCACTTTGATGTGACATTTTGGTTCTGTTTATTTGTTCATACAAACATTGCTTCTGTCTTTTCAATGTTGATTCTCATATTACCTGTTTTACATAATGTTCTTCCTTCATAGCTGTGCAATGTTGTTACCATTTCATGGCTGTAGCTGCTATCAAGGTCTGGTGATCAGTAAAGAGTAATTCGTTGATGTTACCAATGTTTGATTATTTGGCATCCTTGCATATACTGTCGACGTATGTCATGAACAGCAGTGGTGATAAGACAAATTCCTGCCGTACTCCAGATCTGTTATGTGTTGTCAGTCCTTTGTGTGTGTGTGTGTGTGTGTGTGTGTGTGTGTGTGTGTGTAATGTGGGTATGGGAGAGGGGGGGGGGGTATTTCTTTCAAGACATACTCGTTACATTTGTACTGCCCATGAGCATTTCAAAAAGAAAATACAAATATCCGTCTGAAGAAAATACATTATGGTAGGAATTATTAGACCATTAAAACGTTGCAGATGTGGATTAAAAAAAATTGTGGGTTAATCTGCAAAGAGCGCAATGGAACAAAAGACAATTTGCGTTTTTGACACATAAATCATTATTCAGCTAAGGGGGGAAAAAAAAACAAGAAAAAAAAATAGTAAATAATTCCTGTTCCTCGATGTTTGCTGTCTAATAAATATTGTTCGGCAATCTGATAAACAGTTGTGAATCCGGTATTTAGTGGATTTTGCTACTGTTTAAAAATCGATATCTGTAATTGCATTTTCGTGTTGGCTTCAGTGAGAAATGTGAGACGGCTTGTGAGCAGGCGTGAGAATATAGTGGCGCTACTCAAAGTCAGAAGCTGGTATCTGTAAAATATTGGAGAACAGAAACTGCTAAATCAAGCAGTACAAGGAAACAATAGCATTAATGTGTTCACACTCGTCTCAGTAAAATAAGTGCTGGCAGAACAAGTCAAAGACAACCATACAACAGTTGGGTCATTGGTCGGTATTCGTAGAAGCAGAGGAATAATAGAAACAAAGTAAGCACCTGGCAAAATAGAAATTGATAGAAAGGGACGACACTAAGATACGAACCTGCCTAGTTGAAATGATAGAACCTCTGTGTAGGAACGAAAGTACACACGTAGAAGACATAACTTGAATTTATGAGTGCCAAAATTGCGCGAAAAAGAACGGAATGTGTGATGTGGGCTGAGGCGCCTGGGTCTGGTGGAAAAAAAAAGGGGGGGGGGGGGTTGGGAGTGGTGGGAAGGGGAGGAAGGAAGGGGGGCTTAGACCATTTGGGATGTTCCTGGGAAAGTTCAATGGTATAGGAGTGATAGGGTGTGAAATAAATACCGAATAACGCTAACCCTAACACCCACCCCCCTCCTAACTCCTTATAATATTGGACTTTTCTAGGAACTCACGATGCAGTTTCGGAATTCCTGAGATAGGGTGAAATAGGAGAAGAAAAAACACAATTTTTTTTTAAAATCCATTTTTACATGTATTTGCCATCCTGTATATCCCTGTTCCTTAACTCTGTGGCTAAGTCGATGCGAACGCTTCGTAATGCCGGGGTGCCGAGTTAGATCCCAGCTGCGGGCTATGCGCCCTGCGTTGGTTTCGACAGTGGTATCAGGTGGCCGAATGTCCAGAAAGCAATGGCAAACTACTGGACGTAAATTTGCCTAGAGAAATTACACAACAGCCAGGGGCTGCTGGGGTTGGTTCTGCAGGATACGCAATTAAGTTTATATTCCTGAAATTGTTTTCAAGCTCTTAAACGAAGCCTTAGTATCTTGAGGCATCAAACCACCAGCCAAAAAGGTGTAAGGTTGAGCACACTTAATGTTTGCTTTGTGTCGGCGTCCAGGAGACTGGGAGCCCTATGTGACATGTAAAAGTACTTTTTAAGATGGTGAGGACGATTATGATGATGATGAGGATGATAATAATGATGACGAGTGTTGAAATTATTTTGCTTTAAATTGGTACAACATCTGCGGACTATGTGAGCATAATTAGTACTGGACTGACGGAAAATCGTCATCCTGGTGTTAGTGTCTTTTTGTACACACACACACACTCTCTCTCTCTCTCTCTCTCTCTCTCTCTCTCTCTCTCTCTCTCTCTCTCTCTCTCTATCTCTCTCACATACACACACACACATACACTCACACATACGCACACACACGCTAGCTCAATTGCTCAATTGTCTTTTAATGTTATGATTCCACATTTGATCTTGTTTTAATACGAACTGAGTTCACTGTAGCTTCGGCTGTAAAACGTTAACTCCATCTGTCCATATCCTCTACAGATGTGCATCATCCATCTCGTTCAACAGTCTGCCATCTTTGCCGTCCCTGGTGGTTCCTTCATCAAACACTGGGTCCAGAACCACCCGAAGCCTGCCAGTGACTCCCACTGTTCCAGCAGAGCAGGAGGAGGAGAGGAAGAAAATAGAAATACAAGAGGTTTGATTCTATGGTTGCAAATTATTTATTAACCAACAGTGTGTTTTCATCTTAATTAAATAACTTACTGAAAATTGCGCCTTTATCGTTTGAATTAAATAATAATTATTATTAAGTTAGTGGAAAATAATTTTCATGCTATCTTCTTTCAATTACTTATTGAAAAAGAATCTATTGCCATCATCTTTAAAAAGCTTACTGAAAAAGCTTCCTTTGCAAGTTAAAAATATACTTATTGAAAAATAATTTTCAGTAAATCTACATGTATTAAATGACTTATTAAAATGATTTCTCATTACATCTTAATGACATTTCTTATTGAAACAGATTGTTTCTTATTAGCATTGCTAAATTATTTAATCTAGAAAGCGGAATAAGAAGAAAAGAAGCAACAATGACATTCATAATCTGTTACAATCATTAGTACTTATTGGCATCAGTCATAAGGGCTTATAAACTGCAATGGTTGGGACATATAGAGAAAACAGTAGACAACAGAGAGATAAAACTAGGTACACAAAAGAGTTGAATGTGAGTACGCAGGGATGCAGGCAGCGAAGAGGATGTAGAGATAATATTCAGATAAACATACGTAAACTTAGAGTCCCCAACTAACAAGAGAAGACCAAGCATATAAACTGTGACAGGTGAGATATGCAACAATGAGCCTCAAGGGTTTTGAATGCTCAGAAAGAAGATAATTTCTTTTGCATGCAGTAACTTATTTTTTGGCTTGAAACTTTATGTGAATGCATAATTAAGAATTGATGCAGCTCCTTCTCCTTCTATTTAGAAAACACGGTACTGCTGTCTTCAATATATGCTCTTTTTATTCATACATGTTTCATCTGATGAGCATAATAATTTTTTTCATAAGGAAACCCGAGCAATCCTGCAAAACATGAGCACCAGAGACAGCACTGTGGAAAAGGAAAGAGAAAGACAACAAGCAAGGTTAGAAAGAATCAGAAGACAGAAACGGTTTTTGTTGGAGGACAGAACCCAGCAAGCTCTGCTGCTGCTAGACAAAGCATTGGAAATGGACAAAGTGTGAGTTGTGTTTTTTTCTTTCTTTTGTGATAAACTATTGTTTGTGCTGTCCGTCCATTACATAGGCGACGAGGACCTCCTGTTCGATAAGTAGAGTATGCTATCTAATTTATACTGGGAAAGGTTAAAAATCGACTAATGTGGCATGAGTGCATACCAAGCATCAGTACGCGAACATTGCATGGAATCACGTGGATACACTGTCAGGGAACTACAGGAGTGCGAGGGAATGAAAGAGCGGACTTTCAGGCTACAAAAGCGAAATCTACGGGAACACTTGTACTGGACAAGGAAGATATTCAGAAGACCTTGCACGAATGAATGTAGACAGTAGATACGAAATTAGATGACATAACATGTTCAAAGACACCTAGGACATGAAAATACAGGAGGCAGGGATAGTGGTCAGGGGTTACGAGTTGTTTCTCGTGGTGACAGCTTTTGGAGCCACGTTTCTCAGATTAGCTGCAATATTTTGTTATTGTTGCAGTTGTTTTTGGTTATCCCTTTTCTGAATACAAACATATTTTAATAATGTATTGTATATTGCTCAATCCAATCATTTCCTTGTCAGATATAGTTTTTCGTTATTTGAAGCCCTACTCTGGCTCTTGCCAGGGACCGCAACATAGCCCGACCATAAGTATGATCTAGTGGCTGAACGCAGTTTCTGGGACCTATCCACGGTGATCCTCATCCACATGGTGGCACTTTGGGTCATCAGGTGTTTGTCGCTATTGTGGTGTCTTGGTGGGGTAAAAATCTACTACTACTACTATAATGTATTGTTGTTGTTGTTGATGATGATCCCCTTGTAATAACAAACATGTTTTCCTACTCTATCGTTGTTGATTATTACTTTCTGAGCAGAAACAGGTTTTACTAATTCATCATTGCTGTTGATGATCACCTTCTGACACAAGACATGTTTTACTAAGGTTTTGTTGTTGTTGAGGATTACTTTCTAACCACAAGAATGTTTTTCTAATTGTTTTTTGTCTTTAATGTTGTTGTTATTGATGTTTTTGTTGTTGTTTTTATTGTTGTTACTGACTTTTTGTTGTTGTTCTTGTTGTAGATAATGACTTGATCACTTTCTTTCCACCAAAATTGTTTACTAATATGGTGTTGTTGTCGTTGTGTTGTTGATACACTAATACGTTTGACCGATTATGTTTTTTTAGTTGCCTGTGTTATTTATTGTTCATGAGGTTTTTTTTTTTTTCTATCCACAACAACGTTTCCCACTATACTGGTAATGTTGTCGTTGATGTGTGTTATTCATTATTATTGATGATGATGATATTTACGTTCTATCCACATACATATTTTACCAATACATGTTTTTTCCCCCTCTAGACTTGCTCAGGACAAGGAAAGACAGGGCTTACAGTTACGACAAAAGTTAGTCGACATGAAGAAAAAAAGGGAACAAAAGATTGATTCTGAGTTTGTAGAAATTATAGAACTTCACGAAAAATAGATCCAGCTTATGTTATTGTTAGGTTATGTAATTATGAGAAGGGTAATAAAAAAAATTGAATTATAGAAGGTCGGTGTTATACACATAAGGATTTTTGTTCATTTTTGACATACCCAGCATTAACTATTATTTTTTTATGTTTTCTAGATCACGCGTATAAGTGTATCAGTCAGTGTGTTAAAAAAAAAAAATTTTGTCGACAATTCCGAAATGTGATCTTGGAAAATAATGGAGATTCAGTAGACATTTTAAAAAAGTTTGAGGGCAAAAAAAAAAAAAAAAAAAAAAAAAAAAAAGATTATAAACAGCATATTTATACCAACACTGTAATATCAGTGCTAAAATTGCACTTATCAAAGGCTAATCGTCGTAAAATTAATACCTGGGAAATGGATTACCTGAGGTAAATCACTAACTTAACCATCCGAGACAAAGTGAGAAATGAAAACTATCTGAATGACTGAAGGAACAAAGAAATATACCCGAGTTGCAGAGTAAAAGTGAAAAGTAAAGGACTCATTTCCACGCATTTAGGAGTATGGGGCATATAGGGCTAGACCTATATTTTATAGACCAATCGGCACAAGATGGGTGATGTGGTCAGCATAAAGCCGACCACCTTTACTTTCCGGGACTGCACTCGGTACCCACTCAAGGCTGGGTCGACCTGGGAGCCAAGGTCATTTTTTGAAAAAAGTTTGGCTCCACCAGGGAGCTACGACCTTCCGATCCGCAGGCGAGCGTATAGTCGCTCAGCCACGGCGACTCTCAGTTACAGAGTAGCAAAATAATAATGGTTTTGTCAATTCGTTAGAATGCAAATGTAACAACTATCACATTGGCGCTACATATACACAAATTTGATGTGAAAGCAAGAAGTCGTTCTTAGAGAAGATGGGTCAATGACATTAAAGACCTTCTGCGTCGACACTGAAGGACAATCAAGCAATACATCGCAAACTGGCCCTGCCCATGCCGCTTCAAGGCCAAAGCTGAAACCGATGATGGTGGTGAAATTCTAGTAGGCGCAGAGGGGGGCTTTCAAGACGAATAATGAGAACAACAGGAACGTAATAACAAGAAGAACTTCACAGGGGTGCATGTACAGCAGGAGTCCACCGATCATCAGTTGAAAATCCCTCGTAGACAATTGTTTCGGCTCATTACCTCCTAGAACATTTCAGAGAATGGACCGACCTGGGTCAGATAGATAGATAGTTAGTTGGGTTATCCTCATTGCACTCCGGACATGTCCATAGGTGCTCAGATCCTCCCCTCAGTATGAACCCCAACGTCCGATGGCTAATAGTACCAGTTCTATGTTGATTAACAAGTCTTCTGGCGTAGCTGGTGTGCGTCTCGTTTTTTGCTGTGCCGATCTTAATTCCCAAGTCTGCCATTCTGGCGAGTGATGTGGATTCACTGCCACCAAAGTCCTCTATTCTTCCCATTTCTCTGAGGGCATTGATAATATCAGCATGATCCATAGGCTGACCGTCGGTAGTGATAGCGGATCCAGCCAACCTGTCAGCTCTTTCATTTCCATTGACGCCCGCGTGTCCCGGAACAAAAATAAAGGTGACTCCACAAACAGTGGACTTCTGTAATGATTCAAGCCATTGTCTTCGCACTGAACCTGCCTGAACCCTCCGGATCATACTCATTGAATCACTGAGTATACACACGCGGGTGTATTTTTGTGTTTCAAGCCAGGCAAGCGCTTGTGTCACTGCCATCACCTCCATCGTCATGCTGCTGGTTGTCATGGAGAAGGCGCCGTTGGCTTCTTTGACTGTTCTGCCCGCTGAGCGTGCTGTAAATGCCCATGCGCTTCTTCTTTGGCGTTTAACGGATCCGTCTGTATAGATTATTGCGTCTGCTTCGTCTAAATTTTTACCGATGAGAGCGTTGACCTCTGCATTAACAGCAACAGGATTCTCTTCTCTACATCGCCTGTTGAGTGTGACAATACAGGAAAATGTACAAATAAACGCCTGAGGCACAGGTATCCATTCTGCACCAGGTATGATGTCGGTTAGGCTGCATATTTGCCTAATAACATCTTCTGCCCGACCTAGCCACGATTTCCCCCTCTTCAGTCTGTCGCCCTTTTCACTAAAAAGCGCTTGATGCAGTGGGTGTTTCTTATCAGCGCATATTTTGAGATATGCCCGAGCCCTCCACATCCTGATCCTTTGGTTCATTGTTGGAAAGTCAAGTAGATACCTCATTGCTCCACAGGATGTGTCTCTAGTACATCCCAAAATAATGCGCATGGCTTCATTTTGCACCTTTTCGAGTCGTTCAATCTGGGTAGCACTGACAGTGAGGATGGCCAGAGCGTATTCAATGGGGGAAAGGACCAGACCGTAGAATAGAAGTATTAGTAGTCTTTGCTCAATATTGGAAGCAGCCATAATCCTCATTGCAGATAGACCTTTGCGTGCTTTTGTTATCACATGGTCAACGTGTTCCCTGAATGACATGCTGCGATCGAACCTCACCCCGAGAGGACCGACCTGGGTCATGACTCGCAGGCTGTGATCTTCTTCTGCTGCACTTTACCGGATGTTCTCGGACAGGAACAAGACGAAATTGTGACTATGCAACGGTTAATGTAAGATTCGAAGTTAAATATCGGTATTGTCGCTGCCAATTAGACTAGCCGGATAACTTAACGACCAAGTGACAATGGTACCCGAAATCTACGCACAGCTTTATTTCTCTCTTGTCAAATGAAGAACACTTTACCACGCCTTCATGGGTATTGTGCACATAGGGCCAGACTTACATTTTTTAGACCAACTGTCACTCGGTAGGAGATGTGGTCAGCACCACACTGGCCACCTAATTTCCCAGGACTTGAGCTGGTACCCGCTCAAAGCTGGGTCGACCTGGGAGCCAAAGTCATTTCTGAAATTTAAAGGCCGGATTCAAATCCACGACCTTCAGTTCCGCGGCCGAGGGTCTAGCCAGTAGACCATGGCGGTTTCCCCGGTCTCCTGAACTGTTAGATATTTCCTATAAAGATGTTCTTGACGTCATGCCATTCAAGGCATACAGTAAACGAGGAGAAGAACGCAGAGCACAAGGTAGACCAAGAATAAGAAGGTCAATGCCGCCATAAAATCAAGAAAAATAATCTGTCTCCCTCGACACCCGCAGAGGTACAAGAAGAAGTCAAGAAGTCCAAGAAGTTCAAAGCAAAAGTTTAAGTCACAGTCAAATTTCTCCTATTATATTATATCATACTTGCAGTTTTTATGTACGTTTACAATGGCAATGTTTGTTTTCATGTAAATACACAATGGACAATTTTAAAATGCAAATCATGTAAGAGCACAATTTCAGTTTTCATGTACGTATTTAATGGAACAGTAATATTTTTTTTACATATGTATATAATGACACAATTATGGTTTATTATAACTGTGTAATTTTATATCTTAAAATAAGTTTAGTTAAATTTAGTATCGTTGCAGAACAAATTCTAGTATGTGTGTGTGTGTGTGTGTGTGTGTGTGTGTGTGTGTGTGTGTGTCTTACTAGGCAAGTTTACGCTAAGAAGATTGCCATTGTTTACTGAAAACGACTGCTTCTCAATACTATTTTTACGAAATCAACGCAAAGCTGTCTGTGCCCAAATCGCCTCATGCTGGAGTCCAACCGGGTCGTCTAAGCGTGTTTGAACACTCAAGTCACAGATGCAGACTAAATACATTTACATGGGCACAGTTTCAGTATCTATGTATGTATATAATGGAAGAGTAACAGTTTTCGCATACGTATATACTAACACAGATATTTCTTTGTTGTATGTATATATTGTCACGGTTACCATTTTTATATATTAATATAAGGACATTTAAACACTGTAAATATACATATTATTGGGGAAAAAAATTACAAAATATCATGAATACTGTTGGTTCTTCAAAGAGCAGTAAACGTAAATACCGTAACAATTACTACCCCTGGGTGTTAGAAAATTGTGCGCCTACCTGCTTGACCAGATTGACAAATGGACGATTGGTTCATCTGACAGACCTTGACAGTTGGCAAAGTAGCACGGACAGACGGGGAACAACTAAAGCAGTTAACAAAAACTTATTAAAGTACAATGTGGTGATCGTGCAGAAGATCGGGAATTAGCTTGTATCATAGAAACAATAATACTCAGCTTTGTGAGGGACGAAAACTAATTCCAGAGAATAAAAAAAAAAATATAGAAAAGACGATGGCGTTGGATAGACACAGGTCAAAAAAATATGAGAACAATATAACTAGAAGGGAGTTACTCTGGAACCTATAAGGGCAAAGAAAAAAAAAAGGCATATTGAAAAATAAAAAAACATGGAAGAGGGAAAATTTAATAAAAGGATTGAGGATATAGGGTGAGCTGCATGCGATATGAAAGGATAGGCCCACTTGGCGTTGGTATTTGCTCCATAAATTGCAAGCACAGGTACTGACAATAGGGAAAGAGGGCGATAACCAACAAGTACAATAACTACTACGCACAACAGCTTCGTAGTTAATTAAAGAGTTATTGCCCTTTTGCCACTATGAATAATTTTCTTTGAGTTCTAGAAAGATGGTGCAGAGAAGGAAGGAGAGTTCCAATCCAATAAAACTAACAATCTGATATTCTGGTGTCTTTTTCTCCCTGTTTTTTCTTCTCATTTAGATCTGTCGGAGACTCACCAAGTTTGACTTTTATTAACAGTTTGTCCAAAAAACTTGACTTCTGCCTTCTCCTAATGATGTTTTGAAAATGTGCCATTTTCTGGTCATTTCAGATGATGCGGTAATGGCTTGTCCCTCCTTTGTTCGGGTGGTAGTTATCTGGACAGTTTTTAATATCAACCCATTTGACACATCTTTCCTTGATTAATGAAGATGAGGTTACCTGTATTTCCTACTCATCAAATTGTGTCATTTTCTTTTGTGCTCGTCAGCCTCCTACTCGTGACAGAGAATAGTGACACATTCTCTCATCA